AATCCCATCATTGGCTGGTCTGCTCATCCAAACGTGCTACCACCTAACCAGCAGGTTTACCTTCTTTTATTGTGTGTCTTTGAGCATGGATTGACTTGCCCTTCAGTGGGTAGTTGAAACCACAGATAATTCGACTGATCACAAGGTTACAATCCGTTCGTTGGTGACCGTTCAGCAAAACCCTTTTACAGGTGGATATGCCATCAACCTTGTAAGTAACTCTGTCTTATTGTAAATTAAGTCCCATTAAACAACCACTTCAGGGTGGAAAGATCGTGACAAGCAAAACTACACAATCATGGACACTACAGCCGGTACTGAACTCCTGTGCACAATTCATGTGAGTATTAGCGAAACATTACACTTACGCGTAAATAAGGATGAATAGCTCATCCAATTGGTTTAGTGTTTAGGATCGTGGACTGTAATATCGCTATAACACTTGATGACGGTACAGTAAGTTAACTCCAGTGCCTTATTAGATTCTCTATTAGGAAATTGTTTACACAAATCTCAAAGATAAATACCCCTTCTGTACCAGAGACACAGCTGACAGCTGAGGTCGTCTACAAGGATGCAACAAACCAGCACTGGGTGTTTGTCCCTGCTGATCAGATTGACGAGTTTCTGAAGGAGAATGGCACCAATTAATCAATGGATCATAGAGCAGGTGGATTAATACTCTTAATCTACTGTCAATTTGGTAGACTTAGATTATTCTCTATTAAATGGAGAGATGTTGTTGATAGTTGACCACAGTATGAGATTTTCTTGATCTAATGAATTATTCTTCCATGTACAAGTTTTGTTGAATATAAATTACCTTAAGCCTGAGACTCTTATATTAGTCTACTTTCATTTTGTAAACAATTATAATAACATTGTTCAAACTCTTTCTCTTCAATAAACTTGGTAACTTTTGGGTTGTTGTATAGGAAGAATGTCTAGATATATAAAATAAGTATTTTATTATAGTACCTGTAACATTTCTTAATGTAAGATATTAAGGTTCTTAATCTGGTACACAATATATAATATTATACTTATACCTTGTACCTGAAAATATACTAGTATAGAAAAGACAATTAATTGAATTCTATACATTAATATTACAATCTGTTACATCTGAACTCCTACCTACTCTGTTAACAATCATTTTATATCAGATAACCTAAAAATAGTTTTGAGTATAATAGATAGACTACTGTGTTAGCTATAAAGATAATATTTAAACAGACTATACTTTACAGCTAGCTAGTATGATCAGAAATTGACAAGCCTTCTGTCAGTGACAGTGTAGAGGGGACCTGAAGGCTCAGTAAGGGGACCCAGGCTACAACTATCCTACACAACAGAAATACAGAATACAAGCACTAGAATGTGGTCAGAACTTGTAGAACAGGTGGAGAGAGAGAGTGAGACAAGAGTAGAGTATATAGAGTGAGCCTAAGAGTATAGGACTACCTAGAGTAGACAAGATCAAGACTACAGGACCAGTCTGATCTTGTACACCTATATATACT